GCTAGAGAGACCCCTCCCCAACCCAAGACTGCAAACCCGATCTGCTTGTTTTGCCCCCTCCCACCCTGCCCTCCGAAATATTAAAGCCTCCGGGTAACTCTCTCCCACCCACAAGCGAACAAAAATTAACCTAAATCGGTTTTTTCTTTTCTTTTCTTTTGCTGCATTTTTAAAGCCATAGATACGTCGTCGTGACAAAAGGTTGATTTTTTTAAAGGAGAATTTTATTCACAGGTACTAGTTCACAAGTTATTAGGATGCAGCCATGATGCCCTACTCAGAGTAGACCCATTAACATCATTGACCAGCCGTGTCTATTCATTTCATAGCTCCTACTTCTGAGTAGGACTGAGGTCGGCTACAGACCCATGATTAGGTTCCCAATAATGACAATTATGCAGACAATCGCCTAATTTATTGTAATTAATAGTCACGAGAGCGCAAATATTATAAAGAGCTTCAAACGAGCCCAACACGACCGCCTCCTTTTTTCCTGCTGTTGATAGAAACGTAATTAGCCAAATGCATCACCCGAAAAAAGAGGGGTTTTATGGGGGCGGGGAGAAACAATAATTTCTTATGGAATTTGGAAAATCCACCAGGATTTTAATTTTATTTTTAATTAAAGTTTTAAGGGACCAGAAAGGAGCAATGGAAAGATGGGCTCTATCGGAGAGTCGCTGCTTCCCCCAGCTGGTTTAAAACCGGCATTTATTGCAGCAAACAATAATATCTATTAGAAGAATACAGATCGTTTAAGCCAAAGCGCGTTTTGCGTCTCCAAAAGAGCCCCCGGCTGCCTAGCCGGATTTGAAAAATAAATGCCGCAGCGGTGAGGCTTGCCTCCGAGTAGACCTGCTGCCGGCCAGCAGCCGAAAACCTGTAACGACGCTCTGTTATTTCCAGCAAACGGCTGCAGAGAATGGTTTAAAATAAAATAAGAAGAGATGAAGACATTCTTAAAAGGCGGGGGGCGGTAAACTTTTGGGTTGGTGATCCAAGAGAAAGTTCCACTTTACTCCAACCTTACACAGAAATCTTCCCTGTCTGCCTCTACTCGGCAGTGAACTGAGGTGTGTTGGGGTTTACGACCCAGAAAGCGGGTACAGGATCTAGATGGCAGCCTTAGAGCTCTGATCTTAGAGGGGCTTAAAGGTAAAGGGACCCCTGACCATTAGGTCCATTCGCGGACGACTCTGGGGCTTACTCATAAGTAAATCTGCGTTGCCTTCAATGCGCGCCTAGGTATTTCTTTTCTTTTCTTTAAAATGGGGTTGCAGCTTTAAAGGGAAAAGAGAAACCAAACGCACAGAGAAAATATATATGTTCAAGGAGTCCCAAGAGAGCAATTACTCCCAGAGAGGCAAGTTTTTAAAACAAGGAGGCGACGGCCCTCTTTTTAATTCGGATTAACACCTCCCGCCAACGAGCAGCGACGGAATTCGCGATTGACTCCTTTCCAAAGATCCCGCGCCTCCCTCCTCCCCGAGGCAGTCTGGCGAGCCGTCGACGAACCAGCCAACCTGGCGCGGAATCGGGGCCCTTTCTCCCCAACTTGCTCCCACCATCCCCACCTCCCTCCTTTTCTCCTGCTGCCTGTTCTCGCTCGCCCCTGCCGCCTTTGCGCCTGTATAATTATTAGCCATTAATTGGGTTCAGGACCTCGTTCACCGGCGGTGGGGTGGGGAGGATGGTGACCCAAGAACTCCCCAGAAGAGACGTGGAGGAGGGAGGGGGGAAGAAGCGAAGGCAGGATCCAACGATTCCTTTGAGGGCAATGCCCAAGTATTAAAAGGGTGGGTGGAAAACTTCTTTAGCTGCAACAAGGGACCAAAGAAATAAAAAAAAATTAAATTAAGGCACCGCTCCTGGCCAAGGAAAAAGGGTGCTTTGGGTCTCCCCCTCCGCTTCCATTTATTTTCAATTCAGGTTGTTCCGTGCCAGGAGCTTACTGGAACAGCCTGGCCGAAGGGGGAGGAGGAAGGGACATGAACTATACAATCAAAAAAAGGGCGTGTGGAGAGAAAAAGTTTCGCTAGGCTGCTCTGCCGCTTTGCCAGGAGGGTGTGTGCGCGCACTGCAGAAGATAGGAACATAGGCAGCTGCTTTGGCCTAAGCCAGACCACTGGTCCATCTAACTCAGTAAAGTCTACACTGGCTGGCAGCAGCTCTCCAGGGGTTCAGGCAGGGAGTCTCCACTTGGAGGTGCTAGGGATTGAACCTGGGACCTTTTACATGCAAAACAGGTGCTATATTATTATTATTATTATTATTATTATTATTATTATTATTATTATTATTATTCTCTACAAGACCCTCCCCCAAACACACATAGAGCCACACTTAGAACCCACAACAAGCATCCCTGTAATGCTATTGTGTGTTCTTCAAAGAGCATCATGCATTTACGTTCTTACACAACAACAACTCTGCAAGTTTGTCTATATTAGTACCCCTTTATTTTACGCACACCTATCCTATTTATAGGGATGCAGGTGGCACTGTGGGTTAAACCACAGAGCCTAGGACTTGCCGATCAGAAGGTCGGCAGTTTGAATCCCCGCGATGGGGTGAGCTCCCGTTGCTCGGTCACTGCTCCTGCCAACCTAGCAGTTCGAAAGCATGTCAAAGTGCAAGTAGATAAATAGGTACCACTTCAGCGGGAAGGCAAACAGTGTTTCCGTGCACTGCTCTGGTTTGCCAGAAGTGGCTTAGTCATGACCCAGAAGCTGTATGCCGGCTCCCTCAGCCAATAAAGCAAGATGAGCGCCACAACCCCAGAGTCGGCCACGACTGGACCTAATTGGTCAGGGGTCCTTTAACCTTTATCTTTATCCTATTTATGTGATATGAGTTCTCTGCACCTAAGGCCCCAGTCCTATACCCCCTTAACTGAGAGCAAGCTCCACTGCAGTCAATGGGAAGAGGAGGTATGTATAAAATAAAACCGCTAGCATGTTTGCAAAGCTAAGCAGGATCTGGTATGGTTTCAAATTGGATGAGGAACTGTGTGTTGTGATGCCCACATTGCAGCGGCTTGGATTAGATGATCCTCGGGACCCCTTCTGACTCAGCAGTTCTATGATTCTAAGTGTATGGTGAAGCCAGCAAACACTGTCCATTGAACTCAACAAGTCTTACTTCAGAGGAGACATTGGGCTGTCAGCACTGTGCTTATTTGCTTGGTTTTCCATTCATTTGTGTTATTGATCACTTAATTTTAGCTGCTCTTATTCTATCTGTAAATCACCTTGAATCTCTACCAGTGAAAAAGGCGAAGTATAAACAAATACAGTGGTACCTCGGGTTACATACGCTTCAGGTTACATACGCCTCAGGTTACAGACTGCTAACCCAGAAATAGTGCTTCAGGTTAAGAACTTTGCTTCAGGATGAGAACAGAAATTGTGCTCTGGCGGCGCAGCGGCAGCAGAAGGCCCTATTAGCTAAAGTGGTGCTTCAGGTTAAGAACAGTTTCAGGTTAAGTACGGACCTCCGGAATGAATTAAGTACTTAACCCAAGGAACCACTGTATATAACAGCAGCAACAATTTGCATCATCGTTCAGTAGGTAAAATTACATCTGTTGTGCTACTTGTGTTCATTTTAGTTTCCCACTTTAAAACCAAACCAAACCAAACCAAACCAACCTATTACTTGATATGCTGGCAGCAACACTGAGCATAAAAACGTAATGAGAGCCTGCTGGATCAGGCCAATGGCCCATCTAGTCCAGTAACCTGTTCCAACCAGAAGCCTGTGGGAAACCCGCAAGCAGGGTCCCAATCCTCTTCCCTGCTGTGGCTTCCAGAAACTAGCATTCAGAACCATTGCTGCCTCCAACTGCAGAGGTAGAGCACAGTCATCATGGCTAGTTGTCATTGACAGCCCTCTCCTCCCTGGATATGACTGGCCCTCTTTTAAAGTCATCTAAGTTGGTGTCCAGCATCACAGCCTCCTGTGGGAGTAAGTTCTGTAGTTCAACGACGTGCTGCATGAAAAAGTGCTGAGCTGAGCAGTCAAGTTTCTCCATCCCAGATGCCCTGGGCATTTCACTGCTCCATGAAATTTGGAGGAAAGCACATGGTAGATGCCACACACAAAGGTCACCCATCTGTTGAGGCCACCATTTCATCTGCAGATAGCAGAAGGTCTTGGGGCTCCAGAAGAGCCCCAGAACAACATGATGTCCTAGGCCTTAGGGCGAAGGTGACTGTCAAAATCAATACAGTCCTAGCTACCATTGGTGGCATAGGGAAGTGGAGGCTGGTGGTACCCATTATGACTTGCCAATGAGAGGCAAAGATAACTTCTGGCTTTGTTCCCATCCTCTTCCTCCTCACTGTTGAGTTCTGCAAGGGCAACACTGAGACTAAGGAACAGGAAGCTGCTGGACAGTGCCACCCGCTGGACTGGTTGCAAGTAGGAAGGCAGGCAAGGTGGAAGCTGGCTGAGGGCAGACTCAAGTGGGTGGGGCAGTGCCTCAGTTTCCCTAATGGACCAGCCGCCACTGGTGCAACATCCCACTTCTGGCAGATATGAATCATCAGTGGGGCTCAGAATCGTTCTGGTTCCTTTTTTTTGTTTGTGAACAAATGGATTTCCCCCCGTTCTGAAATAAATTTGTACCTCTGTTTACTTGCTTCAAACACACACACACACACACACACACACCATGTTTTATTTATCCCACCTTTCATTGTAAACGCCCTCAAGGCAACTTACAAACCATCACCAAAACAATAAAAGTACCCTATCCAAATTAAACATCACAAACTTCAAATGAAAAGCGCAGTAAAGCCCCACAAATGAGAAGCTGCGAATGGAACAGTTCTTAGCAGCAGCCGAAAACCAAATACAAGAATGTTAAATACCACTCAAACAAAGAGGGAGGGAGCAGGGCTCGACTTGGCCCACTGCCTGAACAGCAGTGGCATTAGGCGGAGTTCAACAGGCTGAAGGGCAAAGGGTGTAGTGTGGCTCAGTGGCAGAGCTTTGCATGCCACTCAGTGGCTCAGTGGCAGAGCTCTGCTTTGCATGCAGATGGTCGCGGGTTCAACCCCAGCAAGCATCTCTGGGTAAGGCTGGGAGAGACCCCTGTTTAAATCTGTTTCTAGCCTACTTTTGAATTTAATTATTTCTTAATGTTTTAAATAGCTGTTTTTAATTGCTTACTATTTTCTTATTTTTGTAAATCACGCCGAGGTCTTTTTTTTCTTACTCTCAAGTGGCATGTGGGTTTTATGAAACCCAATAAAGACTGGATGATGATGGTGAAACTGACATTCCTTGCTCTGCCTACTTTGGGCGTTTGGCTCCCAAAAGGTTTTCTGGAAGGCAATGTGGCCCTTAGGTTGAAAAAGGAGCTCACCCCATTGAAATCAAACCGGCATCTATAGGATTGTATCTTTTCCCTAAAGAAACAAAGACCCAAATGTTTTCAGCTTTCAATAGCCCTAATAGTTAGGACCATGGCTTTCCAATGTGTGTCTACCTTTTAAAAAGAATACATCCCTTTTGCACTGTAAGTGCATGCAAAGGATATTCTGTTTTGCACATCTAAAAAGCAAATGTACCAGAAAATAGGGATGATCCAAAATGAATGATAAACATGAAAGTTCCTCTCCCCCCCCACTTTCCCTTTCTTTCTGAAAAACAAAAGTGTGGAATTGGGGGGTGAGGGAAGGGGGGGTGCAGCTTCTGATTAACTCCCCTTGGTTCCAAGGTGAGCGGAGCACAAGTCTCTGATGGGCTGGCAACATATTTTATTCATTTAAGACACAATGAAACTCTCAAACGCAAGCTGGTTAGAGGCATAATTCAAGAGAGGTGGAGGAAGAACTTATGGGGTGTGAGGTGATTTTGCAGTAAGCTCTGATTCACTGGAGGAGAGTGCTGTAGACAGGGCGGGTGTTGGGGGGGAGGGAAGACTAGAAACATGCGAATGGAGAAGTACTTTTGAGATTTCTCAGAAAATGAGAGAGGGGGGAAACCTCCTTGGATGGGATATATTTTGAAAAAGATCATCTTCCCCCATGGATATTGTTAATATCAGTAGTACTGTTTCATTTATAATGTGAAAATATCAGAGAGAGAAAATAGCTAAGGATGGAGAGGTTAAAGGGTTGGATTGTCTAAAATGGAAAGGGCCAGTTTTGGAAAGCTTTCCTTTGCTCCAGAGGAAGAATCCAACGTGGGGAGAAGTTTGATTCAGTCCACATCTAAATTCGAGTCTGTCACACTGGCACTTTCTGAAACAAGGTGAGAACCAAAACACAGCCATCCTTTGAAACTCACACCGACCCGAATTTCGTGATGCAGTTTTCCAACTATGTCCACGGAAATCCACATGCCAGGGTAAAGGGTACATATAGAAGCATTGGTTTGTGAAAATACAAAAATGCATTCGGTTAAAAAAAGACCGCTTGCCCAAACGTGTAGACTGGTAAAAACTCCAAGCAAAAATGAATTTTTAAAAAGCTTCACACTAAATTGTGGATGAGTTTTCAAGAGGATTTTTCTTTTAAAGTAAAATCTAATTGCTGTGGAGATGTGAAGAACTGGATTTAAGACTGGAAGAAGTTCAAATAGAGAGCATGGGAATGGACAGAAACTTCCATTCCGCAAAGCATCTGCTTTGCATGCGAAAGGTCCCGGGTCCAGTCTCCCCACAACCTCATCCTAAACCTCCAGGTCAAGCTAGGAGAGACTCGTGTTTGAAAGCTTGGAGAGCCACTGCCAGTCAAAGTAGACAATACTGAACCAGATGACCCCATGGTTAGACATGGGCCTAGCCAGGATTTTTTTTGGGGGGGGGCAGCCAAGGTGTTGAGCATTTTGGGGGGAATTCATGGGTAAATATACTCCCAAAGTCTTTGGTAGGAGGGGGCAGTCTTCTCCGGGGGTGGGGCAGAACCTAAGTTAATTGAGTACAGTGGTACCTTGGGTTAAGTACTTAATTCGTTCCGGAGGTCTGTTCTTAACCTGAAACTGTTCTTAACCTGAAGCACCACTTTAGCTAATGGGGCCTCCTGCTGCCGCTGTGCTGCCAGAGCACAATTTCTGTTCTCATCCTGAAGCAAAGTTCTTAACCTGAAGCACTATTTCTTGGTTAGCAGAGTGTGTAACCTGAAGCATATGTAACCCAAGGTACCACTGTACTTTCAATGCTTTTTGACAATTTTTGTGGATCTTGGCTATGCCCATGTGGTCAGATAAGGCAGTTTCTTGTGTTCCTCTTTAACCCACTCTGCAGTCTTCTATTGGCTCAGTTTGACAAAGAAACTGATCTTTTAAGCATAGGACGTCTTTGAAGGAGCGTCTCCACCCCCATCGTTCTACCCGGACACTGAGGTCCAGCACTGAGGGCCTTCTGGCGGTTCCCTCACTGCGAGAAGCCAAGTTACAGGGAACCAGGCAGAGGGCCTTCTCGGTAGTGGCGCCTTCCCTGTGGAACACCCTCCCACCAGATGTCAAAGAGAACAACAACTACCAGGCTTTTAGAAGACATCTGAAGGCAGCCCTGTTTCGGGAAGCTTTTAATGTTTGATGTATTATAGTATTTTAATATTCTTTTGGAAGCCGCCCAGAGTGGCCGGGGAAGCCCAGCCAGATGGGCGGGGTATAAATAATAAATTATTATTATTATTATTATTATTTATGTAATCCCCCCCTCCTTTAAAAATGATCCAGTTTGTTTCATTTTTTTTTGTTTTTGTTTTTTATTTTTTTAAAAATAATATTTATTGAGAATTTTAAAGTTACAAAGAAAAAAGAAAGAAAAGACAAGAGAAGGAAAAAAAGAGAGAAAGAAGTAGATAAACATAACAATTAAACAATACAGTTCAATAACCAAAGTCGAAAGAAATAACAAAACACACAATGCATCTAGGTCAAAAAACAAGAATACAAAAAACAAATAACAAAAAATAAACAAAAAATTTAAAAAACAAGTCTAATATTCCCAAATCCTTAACTTTCATTAACTTATTTCAACGACCTCCTCACACCTTCCTTTTTTGTATTCTAGTTGTTAATTATCTCAGCAAATCCTTTCCATCTTTCACAATATTCTGTCATTTAAATTACCTTAATCTATTTTAACTTTATCTTACCCTAAAAAACCTTAAAACTTAAAACTTAAATCTTATATATACCAAATTCTTTTAACCATTACATATTCTTACATAATTCTTTTTGACATTTCTACTAAGGCCCAATAATTTCATTCCAACATTTTTCTAATACTCATAATTTTATGATACTTTTCTAAATAAATTTTTAAAACTTTCTTCCAATCTTCATCCATCGTCTCTTCTTCCTGGTCTCGGGTTTTGTCAGTCCTTTCTCATCCATCTAATCCATCAACCTGGTGCTCTAATGTCCGAGGCTCTTAAGTCTTTTCCATGTCCCTTCTGCAGGTCTTCTTCTTGTTTATACCTGCCCTTTACTTTGTCTTTTGTTGATTTTTTTCTTGTGTTCTTTCCTTTCTCATTGGGGGGTAGGTCTTGGGAGGACTCCAATCCAAAAGTATCTCCATCTCTCCTCAGCAGATCAGCCCATTCCCCACAGTCCCATTCCCCACAGTCAACACTGTAATCCAGAAAGTATTTAAAAGCATGATTCACAGTCTTTCCAAAATTAAGAGCCCCCACAACTCCAGACCACCCCTGGTCCACTCCAGATTCAAACTTCAAGAGCAGCAGCTTATACTCCTGCAAGGCCTCGGATCTCTCCATTTGTGTTATTTGAGGTTCAACAGCAACCTCCTCCATTTTCTTCTGCACTTGCGCTTGCCCTATCAAAACAGATTCCTGGGCTGGTTCCTGAATAGTTTCTATATGGGTATTCGCCGTTTGTCCAAAGTTTTTAACTGCAACAGTCATCAAATCCATCTTCTCATGCATCTGCTCCAGCAAAGCACTTGTCTTGCAAAGAGCAAGCACCAAAACTTCTTGTAAACACATTTTTTTTTTCAAGGTTAGAGTCTGGTCTCACGATCCTAATCATACAGCTGTGAGGTCCCCAGATCAGCTCCGGCAACAAATTAGCAAGCTCCCTCTAGAGGAGACAATTTCTATTTGTATCCATCTTTTAAAAGCAGGGCCAACATAGAAAAATTACTTTCACTTTTCAAATACTTTGTTTCTTTTGATTGCAAGAAGCAACATTGGAGTCAATTTATTTCTCTCTCTCTTTTTTTTTACTATCTGTCAAAAGACATTCCATTCACAGTCGATGAACTTCCCCATAAATTTCTGTCTCTGACACCTCGTTCCCAGGTTTGAGACGGTGGAAAATTTATCTTTCTTTACTCTCTCTCCTGCAGGCTTAAACGGTCAAAAATCCCCCTCTTTTCTCCTGCTTCCAAGAGGGGTTTTGGTGGTAATGAATGAAGGAAATTTAGAACTTTATATACGACTTTCCAGACTTTAGCTTACAAGGTTTTTGCTTCAGTCTATTTACAAAAAAAGGGAGGCGGACTTCCTGTTTAGAACCTTCCCGTTTCAGTGCCAAATTAAAATATTTCTTAATCCAATTTTCCGTTCTACTCACGGGTACTTGTTTAGAGTCCAATTGTCCACAGGAAAAAGTCAGCGCTCTCCGGCAACGGCTGTGCGGCTTCACTACTTAAAAGTAGCGGTTGATTCAAAACACCGCGCCACTCACCCCACGTCGCTTCGGATCCCCGAAAAAGGGTTTCCCTGCGAGTAGGGGAGGCGCTCCTGGTGTCAGCCGAATCCCACGTTCCCAGGCTTCCTCCGCCTGGGATTTTTAAAGGGTCTCCGCCTTCGCCGCGGCGGCAAGACCCGATTTTCACGGAGCGGGTTCCTCTCAGTCAGAGGAACTCCGCCATTGCTGATGGCGCTGTCCCGGAAGTCCGAATGATCCAGTTTATTTCAGCTGAACTATCATTACTTATTTTTTCTCTCCACCCCATCATTTTCTTTCACTATTTTCAAATTATAAATGGTAACACACAGTAAATCCCATGCGCTAAGCTTGACACATGATCCAGACAGTTAACAGCCATGCTCATTTTGATTACAGTTCATTAAATAATGCAAAGCTCACAAATATCA